TATTATTATTATTATTATTATTATTATTATTATTATTATTATTATTATTATTATTATTATTATTATTATTATTATTCAGCTTGGATTCCCTTCACCAGCTTGAGCTCCTTTCACGGAGCGGTAAATATCTCTACAAATAGGTTCATTTTTTCTTCATTTAAAGTGGCAGTTGGATTTTAGCGTTCCCAGAGCCTTTGGGGCCAGCGAACCTCTTTATTGGAGGCGAGGGCGTGCCGTTGTTCGTTGTGGGAAGGTCGGTTTGCCGCCTTCGTTTTGTCTTGCCACGGCTGGGGATTGGTTCCCCGCAACGCCCGCTCTAGCCGCTGTCCATCGCCCCCTTCCTTCCCCCCGAGGTTGCCTAGCGACGTGCTGAGCCCGGATGCCCTCATCACCATATGGCTGGGCTTCCTGTATTACCTTGACCTCAAGAGCCTCTGGAAGCCGCGGCTGCGGTCTCTGGCAAGATACGAGGCAGGTGTTCTCCATTCTGGCGGCAGCCTTTGTACCTCGCCGATTTGAATCTCCTTCCTCCCGCTGTTGGAGACCTTTTCACGCCGACAAACAGTCTGGCTGGCCGTAGCTTCATTTTCCCGCCCACAGTGATGTAAAATCACCAGATTCATTGCTCCACGGAGGTCGGTTCGCCACCATTCTACTGGAGCACAAATTTGATCTCTCACAGCGTCCTGCTTCGATTGCAATCGGCATTTGGTATTTCAGTGAACGTGAGCTTGAGCCCTTTCAACCTAGCTTACATGGTGGATCGTTCTATTACCGGGGGCAGCGCTGGGGTTTCCACCTCTCCTCAGTTGTCCTCTGATGCCACTGGGGCCTCATCTAGAGTGGGTAGGACCACCACCAGGGCTGCCAGCCACAGATCTCCTGCCACCTCAGCAGCTCTTGCCAGGGCCACTAAGCGCACCAGTAAGACCAAGAACGGGTCTAGGGGTCCCTCAGCCCCCAGGCCACCTCCCATCTTGCTGCCTGAAGGGCCTTCTACCTCCGGCCTAACTGGAATTCAAGGTTGGTCCCCAGACCTCCCTCTCCCTCAGGATCTCACAACTGCAGGACCTGACTCAGGCCTTCAGGGCTCGTCTGATCCTTCTGAGCCCAGCCCAGGCCCGGCCCCCTCCCGTTCAGAGGCCTCAGCCACCTTTACCCCTACTGCCTCTGGCAGCAGACCGGAAGATACTTCAGAATTTGACCTCTTCCCTGGGCTCAGGGACATGATTGCCACTGCCATATCTAGGGGAGTGGATGCAGAATTACAGCGTAGGAGTCAACATTCTAGGAATTTGATTTCTGCCAGAGATTTAGCCACCTCTGAGGCTGATCCCCCTTCTCCCTTGCCTTCCTTCTACAGCGAGGGGTCTGTTTTGGGGGAGGAAGGTGAGATTTGGGATTTAGAGTTATCAGATGATGATCTGGTTCAGGATAAAGTTCCTTTTTCGGGCCTCTTCAGACCAGCTCAACTTTATAAAGCCAATTTGGGGGAAGCAGCCACCCAGGCCAGTATTGAGGTGGGCCTTGATCCCACGGAGCGCTTTTTCGCTGAACAAGTACAAGCACAAGAGGCTATTCCATCACCCAAATTGTTTCTGGACGTAATCCAAAAACAATGGTCCCAGCCCACCGCAGTCTCGCCCACTAGCAATGGTGATAGAAAGCTTTATGCTTCCACTCCGGAATTGGACACCATTTTGCAGTTTCCCACTGTTGACCCACCGATAGCGGCCTTGGCTTCCCCGGCCTTCATTCCATCCGAGATTTCAGAGTGATTAAAGGCTAAGGACCGCAAGCCGGAGCTCGTTATTCACAAAATGCACCAGGCGGCTCCCTGGGCATTGTGTGCCGCTATGGTGGCCTCGTTCTTCAATAGAACTTCCTTAGTTTGGTTAAGACAACTACAGGAGAGGTTTGGTCCAGAGGACTTGCGCCTCTATCAGGATGTGGTCAAACTGGTGGCGGTCTTAGAATTCTTTTCGGATGCCACGCTCAATGCGGCCAAGTTCGCGTCCCGAGCTGTGGCATCCAACATAGTGGCTCATTGCCTGTTACGATCCAAATGGCACCTTGCCTCCACCCCCTTCAAGGACGGTTCCCTATTCGGAGCAGTGCTGGATCCTATACTGATTGAAACGAGGGACAAGCGAAAGGTACTTCCTTCGACTGCTAGGCGCATGGATCAGAGGCAGCCCTTTTGTATTGGGGAGTCAGGGTACTCCTCCCACCCCTACACCCCTCTATCTAATAGATCCTTTTCTCAGTCCCAGGACAGGTTTCAGGGCAGAGCCAATACTAGGGACAGAGGTAGGAACCAGCACCAACAGCAGGCCCAGGCCCAGCGGCCCTTTCGTGGCACCAACCACCGGTCTTTTTGTAGGTACCAGTGACTCGCTCGAGGTTGGCCCTATTGGCGGGCGCTTAACCACCTTCGTCCACCAATGGGAAACCACAACCTCAGACACCTGGGCTTTTCAGACCGTGAGGTTGGGCCTCACTCTGGAGTTCCTGGCCATTCCCCCGAGATGTTTCATCAAATGCCCAGTGCCTAGGTGCCAGGTAAAGCGGTGCCTGATGGACATAGAAATCCAGCATCTCATTTCCATCAGAGCAATAGAACAGATGCCAAGGGGGCAGGAGGGAGGGTCTAGGTTTCTACTCAATACTCTTCCTAGTTCCCAAGACCTCGGGAGATGTCGGGCCATCCTAGACTTGAAATGGCTCAATTTCTACCTAAAGTACCAAAAATTCAAAATTCAATCACTCAAGAGTATTCTGGCGAGCATTCGCCAAGGCGATCTTCTCACCTCCATCGACATCAAGGAGGCATACTTACACGTGCCAATACATCCAGCCCATCGAAAGTTTCTGTGCTTCTTCTGCGTTGACTTACCTGAACGGTCCTTCTATGTGCACTGCGAGGGGAATCCAACCCGCCCTCGGCTTCGGCTGCTCTGGGCCTGGACTTCCTTTTTTCCTATGACATTCTGACTTACCTTGACTTCTAGACTTATTTTGCTTCTCTCAAGCTGGCTGATCCTTTGTGCAAAACTGAACCAGTCCAGTCAGGAGGCGTGGCTA